AAAGCATCCGCATTTCCGTGAGAGGAGCCTTTACGATGTTTTATCTCAAAGACATATTCCTGGAGTCTTTGAATCCATCTGGCTCTTTGTCCTTCAGGAATTTTGAAATGCAATAGCCAGGTTAGGGAAGCATGATCGGTCCTCAATAAGAATTTTCTGCCATAGAGATTATAATGTTCCTCGTTACTTTGTTTATATAGAACGTAAAGGAACCTAATGAACTGTGGAGCGACTTATAGTTGCGTTCACTGTTGTATAATAACCAAGTCTAGGGAAGGTTTAAAATGCTCTTTTATTCACTCCATGAAATAATAACAGATAGTCCCTTATCGGGCTTACAGGAAAGCCTCCACTCGGGCTTTTAACTCAAGATAAGAAAATAAGAAACTAATCTGATGCTAAACAGACCTAGCCGAAGCTAGACAAAAATACGTAACGCAGTTGACCCTTAATGTAACCTAGCTGGCGATTATCAGCAGGCACGTACACGGCTGAGCGTAGCAGATTTGAGAACGAAGTAGCTGGATAACTAACACGTGCCACTAAGAACTCCTACGCTCTCTTTCTCTCAAAGTAATATGAACCTTCCTTAAATACTCCTTCTAACTCATTTGCATAAAACGCGATACTAGAAACTCATTTTGGTAGGGAATAGTAGATGGGAAACCAGAATAGACAGTAAACCATGTTTAAACTTAAAATAACTATTAGAAACTTAAAGTAACCTCTACAAGATAATAATCGAAACGTTCTATGGCTTTTACTATAGCGAGCAATTCTTTACGGTAACGCAATATTCCTCTCCGGTTTAGACAAGCATTTACTCCAATAGGGTTTTACTCTGTCTTAACCATCAATCATTTGGGAAAGGACAGCTCTCACACTTTCGTAGCTCGCATCTTGGTCTAACATGAAATGATGTCATCTAGGTTAATGTCTCTCAGTCTGGGGATATGCGATCTCAGTCCGGGGATATGATGTTAATGCCGCTTTCAACTGATTAAAGGATGTTTCGCACTCCTCAGTCCACACAAATTTTTGTGTACTTTCTCTTAATTTATGCAGAGGTCATACGATGTTGTAGAATCCCTTCATGAATCTTCTGTAATAGGATCAGAGTCACAGGAAGCTCCATACTCGATGGATATCCATAGGCTGTTCCGAGTCCTTAACTGCCGACACTTTCTCAGAATCTGTGCGGAAACCTTCGACGGAGATGATGTGCCCCAGTTAGGTGACTTCCCTGCGAAACAACTTGCATTTCTTCGGACTCAACTTGACACTGGTGTCTTTCAATTTCTGCAAAACCTTCTTGATATTTTCTAGATGTTCCCCGACACTACGGCTTACTAAAATGATGTCATCTAGGTAGACCAGACAAGAATCGTACGATAGGCTACGAAGCACTGTCTCCATCAGGCGTTCAAATGTTGCAGGGGCTTTATAGAGTCTAAATGGCATAACTTTAAACTGCCAGAGTCCTTTACCGATAGTGAACGCAGTTTTCTGTCTATCATCTTTGTGAATTTTCATTTGCTAGTATATTCGCTCTTGAGGTCCGGAGTGAAAAACCACTTGTGTCGAGATAGGGTACTTAAGAGTATCATCAATCCTAGGAAGAGGGTAAATGTCTTTCTTAATGATATTATTTAGTCTCCGGTAGTAGACACAAAATCTTGTCGACACCACTTTTTTCCGGACGAGAACTATAGGAGATGCCAATAGGCTTGTGGATGGTTCGATAATGTCAGTTTTCTTGCATCTTTTTTTGAAGATTTCCAACTTCTTCCTGTTTTTCGAATGGCAGACGTATGAGATGTTGCTTGATCGGAGAGTGATACCCCGTATGAATTCGATATTGCGTCAGTTTTGTGCTGCCAAGATATTTGGATATTCTAGAAAACAGGTCTTCAAATTCTTTGTTTTCTCTGCTAACGTCTTTGTTCGTTGGTTACGTTTGCACTCTACAGAAATTCTTCCAGTAATTCCCCAATTGCTTCAGTCGAATTGCAGGTGAAGCTTTGTAAACGCACGTGACTGGAGCGTATGTTGCTAGCACTTCACCCTTCTGGTTGGTTTTCGGTCTGTGGTTAATATTCGCCACTCTCACAAAGATGAAGTTTCTTGAAAGGTCTACTAATGTCAAGGCCACTAATAAATCTCTTGGATTATTTTCGGGGTATTCAATTATTCCAAATTTAAAGCTATTTCTGTTTTCTGTGGAGCCGGCTATTAATAATTCCGGGTCGGAGGGATGGTGACACCTGTTTTTATTGTTATTTGGTGAGCTGAAGGAATGGTATTTTTCATTTCAAACACAACTATATTTTCCTTTGCAGAGTGCATCTCACCATGTTTCAAGTTCAGTCTAAAATCTTGCTTCCGCAAGAAGTTCAGTCCGAGTATTAATTCGTCCGCAGTGTTAGCGACGAAAGCCAAGTGCTGGTAGGTCTCATTTCCGAAGGTAATGGTGATGTTAATTTTACCTGCGGTTGGGCGCTTATCCCAAATCACTGTCCGTAAAGCCACACAAGGCGGAGTCCAGCGCAAAATTTCGTTCAGTTCCCGAGCTACATCTGTTCTAACGATGGTTACATTTGCTCCCGTATCGATGATCATCTTACAAGGACGCTTGTTCACGTATCCTTCGACGAACAGTCTGTTATCTCCGCCGCTTATTGAAGAGATCTGTAGAGCTTTCAAAGGGCATCTCTGCCTGCACCCTCCATCCCGTGAGATTGTCGCATTTTAGTTTCTCTGGTTTGGTTTCACAGGAGCTCTCTCCCGGTCTTGGTTTACATCATAGTTCGTGGGGAGATGTTCTTCCAGTCCTCAGTTCCAGCACTTGATTGTTTTCTTTTCTATGTTACTTGAGTTCCGCCTTCTTATTATCTCCCGAATCTCTATTATTTCTTCTCTCAATTTTGCGACATCAAAATTTTGATCTTCTATTTGATCCGCTCTAATAGGATGACAATCTTTTCGAATTGCTTCTTGAGCTGTCTCGAACTTCATGGCGTAGATCATGGGAGATTTTTGCGAACATCAGGTGGACAGTCCCGGATGTGCTTGATGCGCCAATTCTTAATGTCAGTTGCCAGTTCTTGAAGACTTTCCGGGATTTTCTGCTAACAAGTTTTCAACTGTAGGAGGACACAGTTCTTTACACATTTCCCCCGAATCTCAGTTCCAGCGCATTCGAGAGGCTCTGAAGTTTTAAATCTGGTCTTCTTATAAAACTCCTAAAATGTCTGCAGCATCGCCGCAGAGTGATGCAGCCAACCGCGAGGTCTTCACGTGGGAGTCCCACTTGTTAGTTTCCGCCAGGATCGAAAACTAGGTCTTATATACACTCCATCATGATTTTGCATCGTATGTGTTTGGTTTCATTACCGTATGAAAAGGAACTGGAAACTTAAAATCTTCAGGCTTGTTCTTGGGCTGAGTCTAGTTTTCTTTCAAAATATATACTTCTTTCCGGAACTTTCTCAATTTTCTTCAATCTTTCTTCCACATCGTTCCACTTCCACCTGTTGGTGTTGTTCTTGCAGTTTTTCTTGTCCGGCTTTTAATTCTTCCTTACCCGACTTTGTTTCGCTCTTCATCTCAGCTTTCATCTACTCATGTCTGCCTTTTGTCTCTGCTTGTCCGGCCTTTACAGCTGCTGACAAGTCCATCAAAGTCTTCATTTCTTCCGCCTTGGCTTTTCCTGTAGGCGAGTCACTGGAATTCACTCACAAATTCCACGTCTGACACCAGTTGTTGCGTTCTACGGACTCGTGAATTTGGAGTAATTGATGATAACACTTGATGAAGAATCAAAACACCTTTTATTCGCCAGTAAGCGCTGTTACACAGGACAGTTCGAAAGACATGTTTATACAGCTTCAGGCTATAATGGTGAAGAGAGCTTCACGGCAAAACACTAAAGTACAGCTCTCGCCTCGGTCGATTGCTCTCAAGCTATATTAAATCGAGCTTCAAATAGACTCATTTATTAAATTTTACTCGAAAAACGCCTCCGATAGGCGCCGCTTAAAGTGATTAAAATATTACAGAATGAATTTTTAAAATTGAAGTAAAATTCCGGAATAAGTTCATTCCGTAAGACAATTCCGTAAGACAAAATTCAGGAATAAGTTCAAAAATAGGATATAGAAATTGCCAAATGGTACAGATATATCATCAAGCAAGGGATTAAGCCACTAAACAGTTTGATTTTTATTCAAGCCAACCATGTACAGATAAACATATTTTCTGAATTTTAAGAAACTAGACGGGACTAACCAGTTTAATAAAACGGCATTCTAAATTCATTTGTATTTTCGCGCTAAAATTTCTCTTCGCTTGTTTTGAGCTTTACATCTTTGTGAATATTCTATTCTAGAAAAAACTACTTTTTTTATTTAGTTATTTTTGTAATGAAGTTTTAGCAAAGAGCATAATAATCTGAGGCCACGGAATAAAATCGACTTGTGGAACCGCTGCGACCAACTCTCAAAAATAAATCAACAGAATGATGCTTTTATATTAAATATGTCAATCCTTCTTATGCGGGATTTTGAAGAACATAAAAGCGATGTGGAAGTCATCGGTTCATTGTAAAAAGCTGATGAAATGGCAAAAAGCTGATGAATTAGCTCTAAAAATTGGGGAAAATTATTTTATAACTATAAGTGGCTGGTTTAGCGGATGGAAGGAAACAGAAGATTCTGTTTACCAAATGCATTCTTCAGGAAGGTAAAGATCGTGATTTACCTGCTGCAGGAACACTGTTGTCAAATAAATAGCCTAAATATTTTACCAAATTTTGTCCTGAAAAAAAATGGCAGAAAGATCTTCGATGATTTAAAGGAACAAAGAGTTTAAGTATAATTAAAAGGCTTGGATAACGTCAGCAATTTTTAATGGATTCGTAACAATATTGTGTTTAATGTCTGCTGATGTGCCTGTATGAGACTGTCACAATTAATTTTACTAGTTTCTTGTTTCTTCAACAGCAACCTTTCCACTGTGAAATAGAAGACACCCTAGGTATACCTTGCCTAAATTCTGGTCCCGTATCCTGTAGAGTCAGACTAGATAGAGGAGGTTATGTACCTGGAGAAAGCATCTGCATTTTTGCAACTATAGACAACGGAAGTAGAGTGACTATAAAAAAGACTAAAGCCATCCTCACAGAAGTAAGTTAAAGCATATATCTTTGGAAAATAAAGTTTCAAATTGTGCTTCCATTTTTAATGAAATCATATCAGATAACAAAACTTTTGAATCTTGTGGTCAGTCTTATCTCAGATTATATTTAGTATCCGTCTATACTTAAATCCTTTTTACTGTACTATTTTTGTGTGTTAAAACAATTTACATTATTTTTATTTATTTGCTTGTTTATTCATTACATTTTTAGGTAATAATTTTAGAGTTTATTTTTGTGTAATTTCCTGGCTACGCATTTTGTATGTAAATGCTTATCTCTTGTTTGAAAATTTAGATCTTTCGATTTTGAATCCAACAGTGTTTAAATTGTAAAAATAGTTCAAATAGAAACTTAGATGTAGTCAAAAACTCTTCTAACGGGCCATGGCAAGATTTCGCAATCTTTCGCCAGCCGAGCAATTTTCGTAAATTTTGGATAAACTCATTTTCTAATGTCTAGAAACCAATATTCTCGAAGCTTTCAGAAACTCTCACAATACCGTTTATATAGGGTTCCGACAGCCAGCAGTCAATCAGCAGTTAATTCTGAGTAATTACAAAGACTGCTTGTTCAAAGAGTTAGATGACTTGTGTTTTAGAGTTTGCTTTGTGAGTGATAGTGGTAATCAAATATATTCATTCTGTATTAATTTTGTTGGATGCATTAATTTTGTTAGAGAATTATTATACACAGCAGATGTGTATTAATTCTATTGTGTGTATTAATTCTGTTGAATGTGCATTAATTCTCTTGGACAAGAAGGTGATACCTGATTCAAATTCATGGAACACAGAATTAAGATTAATCCATAATGTTAGGAGAAGATACTGACTTCATTGCGATGATTGAAGTCGTTCTAACAGCACTTTTGTGTTTTATGTAACAATCTATTCCAAAATGGTATGTGAAATGGTATAGAACGATAGATCAGAAATACGATTTGGAAGTCTTAACCATCATATTCTGCCTTACAGTCCAGACATTTCATCCTATAATTTCGGATGGTGTGCTAAAGAATGTTGCGCGGGAAAAACTATTCCAGCCAGATGATAACGAAAAGGAGAGTGTTCGGAAACGGTTCCAAGAGCAACTTAAGGACGTTTATGAAAACGCTGTTTAACGTTTGATGACTCGATGGCGATAAATATCTAAATAATAATGGTAAATAATTTTGAGAAACTTTAAATCATTGTTGTTTCAGAACCTTCGACTAATTTTCTATTGAATACCTCTCTTATATGCATGATTCATAATTTTAGTTATCAAAGAAGACTCAGGTGTTGGAAACACTTGTTGACAGGCGCCCGGGCCAAAAGGCCACATCCTGTGTAGAGCTCGTTAGAAAAATGCATTACTTTTCTACCATAACGTGGAAAATGTCCATAGATGAGATGAAATCTCGTTAAAGTGCTGTGAATAAATCTTCGTATATGTACGAGTTAGTTACTCCTCCTAAGTCGATACCTCAGTGCAGGGGGTGGAGCTACTGGTTAGCTTGTCCAATGGAAATCCTGTAAAGGAAGTGCATCTACTTGCAAATCAGGTATTGGTGGGGAGGGGATATATTGTAATAAGCATAAGAGTAAATGTAAAGTTAACTAAAATGTATTTTAAAGTAAAAAGATCATGGGATGGAATAATGGGTGGCCTAAACATCTAATAAGTGAAGATAAAAACAAAAATAAGTGGGGAGATATTTAAAATTCAAAATAATATTGGCAAAACACAGATTTTAACTGAAGGTGAATTACAATGAATTACAATTTAAATTTACGTTAACAATTTCCATGCTGTGATTGAAAAGGGCGTGCTTTGATTACTCAGTTAAATTATTGATTTCATTAATTATTTCAAAAAAATAGAAACATTTTATCACCTGGATCAGTTAACTCTTTCATTTTGGGCATGTACGCTTTGAAGACATTATTCATAATTCTAATTTTGTTAATTCCAAAAATATTGTTGAAATCAGTGACATTCTTAATAAAACTTATAAATTCAGAATATTGATTTTTCTCCTGTGGAGAACTAGTGGAATTATTTGCACAAGAGCTTTGCTTAGGATTATTTACATTTGAAACATTCAGATTTTTGAACGCATTGCTAATATCAGATACATTAAATTGAATATTTGCCTTCACTGGCTGATTTTGTGCAGCAGTAGCCGAACTAGGGAGTTGACCATTAGGTTTATTACTAGAGTGTTAAGCCTGATTTTTCGCCACATCTGCGAAGGTGGTTCCACTTTTTACAGTACTGTGTTTAATCTGCTGACTAATTTTATTTTTTTGGAGCTTTCCGCACCCCGATATGACGCGACATGATTTTTTTAGGCAGTTACAAGACTTGGGTTCTTCTATTCTTCCTTTGTTGGGACAATCCATCGCCTTGTGTTCTAAAGAACACATTACACACTTTGGTTTAGCTGCTTCTTTTACTTTAAAGAAGCAGTTCTCCGAAGAATGGTGCTACTTTTGGCAATTATAGCACTGTGGCACCTGATTCTTGGACGCGTACTTTTCCACCTTCACAGCAAACAGTAATAAATCAGATACATAGAAGATTTTATCAGAGATATCATTTTTCATTATTTACACGAGAATTAAAGGCATATAGGGGCTTTCGTTCTGCGTCTAGTGAGTTAAGTCACTTTACCTATGGCGAAACCTTTAGCTGCTAATGCATTGGCTATGTCATCAGTCGTAGTAGTGGAGGATAAATCTCTAAAAACTACTTTTATTGGTCTGGCGTAATTTGAATTTATGACATAGTGTTCAATCATTTTCGCCTGAAACAGAGCACTCAGTATTCTGTGGTCATCAGAAGTCCGTAGTAGGATTTTCAACAATTCCCCATTCACTTTTCCGAGGAATTTGGCTTCAGTCTTAAGTGATAAGTCTTTTAAGAATTCCTCATGCGTAAGTTTTCCCGGATTCACCATTATTGGGGGGATAACCTTTTCTTGGCTGTTCGTCGGCTTCTGCTGCACTGCCTGTTGGCTAGGTGTAGTATTACTAGCACTTTCAACATTAGCATCATTATTTTCATTTAATAAATTAAATTTATTATTAGACTCAATATTCAGGGGTACTTTTTCAACTCTTTGTTTTAGTTATCAAAGAAAGGAATTTTAATTCCAGAAAGTAGAATTATTATTGTAAATACGGTAAATAAAATATTATGCAGATCTCGAAATTATGAAAAATTCCTTTTTTGTGTTTACTAAGTATTCCAAGGGAAAAGAAGTATAGATCAGGTCAAAAGATCCGGAGCCAGAGACGCAGAAAAGGTAATATTCATAGGTGCTAGTTGCTACTGCAATCGCTTGCAAAAACACAAGATTAGATTCAGTTTTCAGCTGTAAGTACATGAAATTTCTTTCAAATATATGAACAAATTAACAACTTTGTTCCATATTTTTTATAGCAACAGCAATATTTATTTAACAAATCATATGTTCATGCATACAACTCTTATGAATATCAATTTTATAGCTGGTTAATAAAGGTGATAAATAAAATTCTAGTCTTCAAATTAATAAGATCTAAAATGATCTCATCTGCCAGGACTTATAGAGAGAAATCGCAATTTTTCGTCCTCATGTATTATGTATGAGATTACAGCAAAGCATTTTGTATAAAATGTCATTAAAGAAGACAGAGAGGTGCCTGTTTTGCTTACCTGCTTCTTTCATCGCATACGCTTTCGGCTAATCGAAATTACCATAACAAAGCGTAGCCTTAAATACTTTTCCTTTGAAAGGCATTCTTCACCGTAATGAAATGCAGATGCAGATTTTGGTATGAAGAATAATTAAAAGTACCTTCGCCCTAGCAGTATTTTTATAAAACAAATCGAGTGAAAAACAGTCAGTTTTATTATCAAGATTTTTTGTAGCTGTTGAGAACACGAGAAATACTTTAGAAGATTAATAGTCAACTAACGAACAAACTGAGCAATAGAAAGTTGTAGGCGCTATTTCCTTCGTTAGAATAATTAATTACTTGAAAACCATTCATCCATTATCAAAATAAATAAATATTTTGTACATAAAATTATTTAAATAAATTGCCTCTTAATTTTTTTAGAATATTAGAATAAACACTTTATGGAGAAGTTGTTAAAAGTAACATATTATATTCTGTCGAAGTAAGTATTTAATTAAAACTCATGTCTTAGATTATGATAGAAAATCATTTGCAAAGAAACAAAATGTTAGTACTTCTTTTGAAGAAGAATAAAAATAATGCTGAAGAAAGCTATTTAAAGCTATTAATGACGGTTTCCTACGTTGATTCCAATGTTATTCGGCGATCTGCATTGCAAATTTATTTTAAAATATTTTCATTGAACGCTTCAATAATTTTAAGAACTTTATTACTTTTGTAACTTAAAATTTCCCTCAAAAATAATATCTAATTACTAAATGTTTTTTTTTTTTTTAATTTCTTCCTCTCATGAAAACAGATGGAATGAGAAAGAAACCTTGTTTTCTCCAATCTGAATGTACTTTAATATAAGATTTGATTTAACATGGAAAAAAAAGAACGCATTTTAAAGCAACATTCAGGAAGCGATACAATTAGTTACTAGCGTCTTTAAATGAAGCAGAACGTGAGAAAATTGAAATTAAATTTTCTTTTTTGGAGCGGACTCCTACAGATTTGGCTGAATTGGATGATAAAATTTTTACTACTTTAATAGACGCCAAATCTGAAGATTTAGTTTTGAATACAAGGATATTTACATGTAGCTCGTATTCGTAATAAAGCATGTCTTGATAAACTTTCAAATTTTTGCGAACCATTGGCGTCGAAACAGGTGACAAAACAAAATTAAAGCTTCCAAAAACAGAACTGGTTAAATTTAACTGACAAGTGTTAAGATTTGCTCACATTTTGGAGTTGACTATGAAGATAAATTTCAGTATTCTCATTCAGTGCATTATAGTTAGTAGTAGAGCCTGAGAAACTGCAGATAACTATC